TAAAGTGGTCACAGCCGATCACCCCCCCGCCCCGCTTCCACTTTTGTCTCTGCTCAATGGGACTGCTGGGTTCCAGCAGCTACATTGCCAACTTGGGGAGTAATCTCAGTTCCTGGTTGGCACATAACTTATTCATTGTAACGAGCCGGATGTTCACAGGAAAGAAATAAAACTTAAATTTTATAAAGCAAAATGAATTCAACTGGTGAAACAATATGTTACAATGCATCAAGCAGATCAAAGAAGCCGGTCTTCTCAGAAATATATAATTGGAAACATTTAAATTATTTGTGTGCGAACACTTTTTTTTCCTGGAAGTGTTCACTTGCTGTAGGACAATTTTCTAGTAAGTACTGATCATTTTACTACTCTAGTTCAAATCCAAGCCCTAGAGAGAGCAGTGTAACAGAAACAATACTATAGAGAGAGGAATGCCTGGAGTGTGCATGGGATGGTTTTCTGGATCAGTACATTGAGGAACCATCTAGGAGAACCTGCCCTGAAGAAGGGTTAACTCTGCCTTTTCTCTAGATGCTACCAGACCGGAGTTTCTCGAGCAGTTTCCGTTTTTGTTTCAAATGATCAGCATCCATAGTTCTGTTTTATTTTAGAGAACAGGTCATCCCAAACTGGGTATGGTGTTGTGAAATTAAAGTAATTGGCAATCTAGCTGCGGACGCTCCTTAGGGAAAACAGTGACCACATCTTAGAATTCTTCATTGAAAGTGGAGAGTGATGGAGTGTGGAGAGGACTAGGACATGCAACAAGACCTGGGCATCCTGTACTAGTCACTGAACCTAAACATGCAGGTGCAACAGGCATTAAAGAAAACACAAAGCATATGAACTTCATAGCGAGAGGATGTTGAACACAGGAGCAGGGATGTCTTGCTGCTATTGTGCAGGGCCTTTGAGAGACCACACCCGGAGTGGTGCATGCAGTTTTGGTCTCAGCTTCTAATGGTGGATATTCTGGCTAGGTACAGACAGCAACAAAGATTTACCAGACAGTTTGATGGGATGGCTGGACTGAAGTCTGAAGACAGACTGGGATCAGATAGGATGGAATTGCTCTGTCCGGTTTTTTTTTTTGGGGGGGTGCGCACAAGCAGAGGCAGCTCACAGAAACCTGTCGGATTAAGTGAGACGAAACAGCATGAACGCACGAGGAATGTTCTTGATGACTGCCGAGTCCAGAACCAGGGGCCACAGTTTAAAGGTTACTAGAACAGACATTTGAGACTGAGATGCAGAGAAATTTCGTCACCCCAATAGTGGTAAACCTGTGGTGGAGTCCAAAACACTGAATGCTTTCAAGAAGCAGTTAGTCGTAGCACTTAGGGCTAAAGGGATCGAAGGGTATGGGGAGAAACCAGATACAGGGTATGGAGTTGGATGATCAGCCATTATTATATTGAATGGCACAGCAATATTAAAAGGGCTGAATGGTCTGCTCCTATTTTCTAAATAGATAGGTTGGCAGTTGTTTAGACATGGAGCACTCAGCGATGTTTGAAACGCTGGGGCAGATTTTCCACTGGCCAGTCAGCTATATCTCAGCATTTAGAAGTTGCACATAGGGACTCTGTGGAACTTCCATTATAGTATCACTGGAGAAACTGCCCTGGAAACCGTATTTTCCACTGTGCAAGTCCTCCATGCTAGGATCCCTCTGAAAGTCTCCATTTAAGTTGGAGATTTTTGTTGGTTCCCATGAAAAAGTAAAAGTAAAAAACAGTTAAAGCATTAAATAGTCTTAACTCCCAACTAGTTACTATTTAACTGAATTCACACACCCCTCAACTAAACCTCCCACGATTCCATTCTCCCTCTACTCCCAGGGACCCAACTCAACATCCAATGAATTTGATTAGGCAGATCCTGCTGCCAGACCCATCCCACATCCATTCCATGACAGCAGCTGTCAGTGGTTGTCAAGACATTAAATTTCAGAATATAGCAGCTAAGTGTTGTGAAAGGTAGTGTGGTGCCTTCCTCCGACAGCTCTCGGCCACAAAAGAACTGTCAGATTGGAAATATGGCTCCATATTTCAGAAGAAGCCCCAAGTGGTATCATGTTTCAGAAATGCTGAGTTCTCTTCTTTCATAAAAAGGGGTGTTGGAGTGACATTGCTACTCCCTGGAAAATCTGGCTCACTGCTTTGACCAAAGTTTGAACCTGTTATCACCCAATTCTGCTCCCCTCTAATACGGATTAATGAGCACCTTGCAGGATTAGGAATCCTCAGCTGATCAAATACAACAGGATTCTACAGCATTAGAGTTTAATACCACAGGAAAAAGGAATAAGCTATTCTGTTCCTAAACTCCATTTCATCATTTAATTACAAAAAGAACTGAATTTACATAGCTACATTCATGACCAAAGTATCTCTCAATGCACTTTGCAGACAAGTACTTTTGAAGTCTCACTATTGCAAGAAAAGCTGCTACCAATTTATGCCTTAATGATAAGCAGTTATTACAGAAATGCATTTTAACGTCTATTCACCACAATTAGCATCGGATTGTCTGGGTGAAGAAATGGATGTTATTCAATGTCTCTATTCTGGAAAGTGCTCATGCATAGATAGCAGCTTGCACTAAGGCTTACTGATATGACTTTCAATTTTCCTACTTTTAAAAATGGCATAAATTATCGTCCTTGATACAGGGAGACTTAGCAAAGTGGCAAATGTACAAGGCTAGTAATGCAGAGTGCTGGCTCTAACGATTCAGAAATCAACTAAAATACGATCACAGCAGCAGCGGGGGGAATTTAAATCCAATTCATTAATAATCGGCAACAAAATCTCATTAGTGTTTATGAAACAACCAGATGGTCATTAAACCCACCCTAGTTCACCGACACCTTTTGGGGAGGAAATCTGCCATCCTTACATGTCTGGCCTACATGTGACTCCAGACCTACAGCAATTTGGTGAACTCTCGATTGTCCTCCGAAATGGCCTAACATTTAACTCCTTGAGAGAAAAAAAGTGTAGTGCAGTATAACTACAACAACTGCAATGATTCTAGGTGGCCACTCACCACTACCCGAGGCGATTAGGGAAGGGGAATAAATGCCTGCATACAAAATATTTTTGCTTAAAAAAATTAGTCCTAGTTTAGATTGGTGCTGGAGTGTAACTCGGTTGATTTGGGGGATCCATTCTCACACCAATATTAATTTGGAGAATCATAACTACAGCAAGACTGGATTTCTGTGCACATTAAATAACCCACTATACAACTATTTTGAATTGGTGGAAGATATGATACATTATCTTGATTTTGCTGAGGCACAATTCACCAAAACACATACCTTGACAAACATTCTAAGACACTCTGGTACTCCTGCTCATGACCTTCTTTCAAATACAAGCCAGTTCCATGTTCCCTTCTGAAAGTTTTGCGAGTATCATCATAAATAGCCTTGGCTATGTGATCTATTGATAAAGAACACAAGAGATAATTTCTAAGCACAATACTGACCAAAATTCAACATAACTAACACCTTGTTAGTGATCTGGGTGATATCCAATTCCAACACAACAAGGAAGCAGAAAGCAGAAAGCTGTATAAAATGGTGTTAGGAGTAGTAGTCAGGAAAACAACAATGTCAGCAACAATGGACTACGATAAACGGATACATAGAAACAAATAACACGACATCATAGCACTAGAGATGAATACAAAAACAACAAGAATTCAAGCAATTCAGAAGAGAAAGTAGTACAGAAAGATCATTTGTGGATGTGAAGTCTTAAGTCCAAGACAGTTTCTGCCTCACAATTAAATAGCAAACATATGGTACTCAAAAAAAATCCAAATTACTTCATTAACACAACAAGTGAAACGGACACCGTGTCAAGGGCATTTTACGGAGGACTGACATATAAAATTTAGACAGAAAAATTTTGGACAGATTTCAGGGGATTTTAAAAAAAGACATGGAACGGTCTAGATTGGGAATTCCATAGCATGGATCTTAAATAAACCGAAGACAGAGTGATCAATGGTGAGAGCAAGGGTATGAGAATTGGAGGAATTGCTGCAGAGCTGGAAGTCATGCAGCATGGAGGGATAAACTATGAAGGATTTAAAACAAGGAAGATCAAAATTTTAAAAGTATGAAGTGTTCATGGACTGCAAGCTAAAAAATAGCAGATCCTTGAGGAACTCTGGGAATTGTGAGCTAGCTGGAAAGCTACGTCATGAATCAAAACTTGAATCACAAAATTGAATTGCAAGAGCAAAACCATGCATAAGCAGTCCTAACAAACTAGACTGCACAAAACAATAAATTGCAGAATAGAATGTTGATTAGACCAAAGAACGCAGGGGAAAAAATTAGATCAAAATGATAAAGGAGGATGGATACAGTCAATAAGAATATTACACTTGACTTCTGATGGGGCCATTCCTATGCCATGGGAGTAATCTATTCAGACAGATTAAAAAAAAAGTTACTGTAAAGTTGAGAATGAATTACAATAACTTCATAAGACAATTGAGGGGAAGAAGAGGTGGATAAATGAGAATGAGTTCACAAAGTTGTTTTGTTTTCAATGCAAGGGTGATGACAGCACACGAAATGGGAGGATGAGTACCCCTACCAAGCTTAGATACATCAGCACAGACCTGAATTCACACTTTGATATTCTGGCCTGAAAGTTTTAGGATGGTAACATATTCAGCCAAAGAGCCATTAGTAATTAATCACATTCTTTTTTAATTCAACCATGTTAAATCTGTACCATAATATTGGACCGGATGCTACTCTGCTGAATTGGTGGCAGCAGTATGTTGCGTTTCAGGTTTAAATACTGCTTGACTTCCTGCCTGGGTGTTTACCAAGGCAGATAAAACAGGTTCGCTGACTACCCAAAATTTATCCCTTTTTTAAAAATTATAACACAGGAATTTATCACAGATCAGTGAAAAAGATTTACCTGACAGTGTTTGAGAAGTTTCTTTCGAATTTTCTGTTTGCAGTTCAAATTGTGGAACCATAAACTGCACATCTGGTTCAGACTTGAAGGAAAAGGCAAAGAAAAAATATGGAAAGTTCAACTGTTTTAAACTTACAGGTAAAAGCAGATTTGCACTTTGAAAACCCATCCTCGGAAAGAAGAAATTCCGAGTATTTGGCTGTCAAATACTATGAATTGTAACCTTTACAGCTAGAGACCTGTCATATCCAGAAGATTGATGGTTTAACCCAGATTCTACATCTTCACCATGATGCTGATTCAAAAACTAAATGTGATAATCAAACTAATCAAGGGGAAGTAGCTTTTCTACATACTAACCTCAAGATACAAGTTATCTAAAACAATTTTATTATTTAAAAACGACCTCCTGCCCGCCACCTTTTCTGCTGTAGAAAGTTTTTCCATTGCTTATTTAATAACTGTGCTTTTTTTTCTGGAAATCTATAATTGTTTTGAAAATGGAAGGCCCTTTCAAAAAAAAGTCAAGTGGCGACCGATTAATTTTATATTAAACCCACTTCCAGCAAATTACCTGATTGCATCATATATATTTTTCGGTAAATGCCTAAAAAGGCTGTCTGCCCTGGTTGATTCAATTCATATACTGGACATGGATGTATCTCTATCGAGCACACTTCAGTATCCCCAAACAAGGTGAAAGAATTACAAGTATTAATTGTAACATTTCCCTTACCCAAATGTGGTGAAAAACTTGATTATCAAAAAAGGAAATTTTATGCATATACATTCATACAAATTCAAATAAAATGCAAGTGATACGATCACCATGCAGTTTATGGATGTTGTTATAATGATTTACTTCAACATTCACAGTCACTTGTATCCAATTTGTGAATTACAATCTTAAAAATTAAATCTTAAAAGATTGCAAGTGTACAACAAACATGGCTCTGAAGTTTAAAATTTCCTTTCAGACAGCATCAGCAGTCAATACATGCTGACAAATGCATGTGCATAAATTATCCAAGGACTGCAAAGCACATGAGAGCTTCATACGCTTGACAACTAATCAAAGAACTTTGAAGACAGTGCTGTATTCACAGCTACAGCTGATGACTTATTAAACAACAAGATGCAACAGTGGGATTCTAAGCCTGATAGATAAGAAGCTTCTGTTATCAATCCCCAGACCAAGCAAAGATGACGACCTCAGCCAGGGGATAATTGGGCAATGATCTGATAGGAATAAGGTTTCAGTCCAGTCCTTTTCTGATAACAATTGGAGGAGCAAGAACTGTGCTCACGTGTGATCTGCAAAGCAGAGCTTAGCTACAGTTTCCTGTAAATCTTATCAAATAGTGTATACAATTGGTCTTTTAGTAACTATTGGCATTTGGGCAAGATGAGAGGATCAAAGGCATGTAAATATATCACAGGAAGAATCTGCAGAAGGAGAAAAGAAAACTGACAGTGGTCACAATGACATGAAAATACTCAAAATTCTGATATACAATGCAAAAGTAGTAATTTTAAATCAGATGCAGAGATTATAAACTGACAAATTTAATGAAGTGTGTTATGTTCACAGGAGCTTAAAATGGCAGCTGATAAAGGTAAGGTTTGAGTTTATGAACATTTAGTTATAGGTAAAGCTTGCTTGCTTCAAGGGACTAAAAGTATACAGTAGTTGGAAGCATTTCCAAATATTTCATGACCTTCATTTAAAAGCAAAATTTCTGTACATCAGAACTTGTGTTCAAAATTCTATTAATTTTTCTCATTTGCCCTTTTGCATTTTTGTAACTACCTACATTCAACTTTTCTTCTAATTGCTTGAATGTTATCCTTAATGCCACGTATTTCATACAAAGTCATTGAATCAGAATTATTTGCCAGCTTTTGGCCCATATCCTTCTAAACCCTTCCTTTTTATGTACCCATCGATATTCCTTTTAAATGTTGTAAGTGTTCCCACCTCCATGACCTCCTCTGGCAGCTTGTTCTATACAAAAAAAAAAGTTACCCCTCAGGACCCTTTTAAATCTTTCCCCTCTCACCTTAAACCTATGCCCTCTACTTTTGGCCTCCCCTGCCCTACCTTGGTAACAAATCCTTCTCAAAAAATTCAATGAATAAGATCTTTCTTTCAGTAAAGAAATCCATAATACCACGCATTAGAGAAAAACAAAATTTACAAAGAAGTATAAATAAATAAATTTGGTAAGAGGTTAACATTTTTCATGAAAACCTTTCAAAGCAGTTAAAGAATCTAATCCACAGACGTTAGTGTGCCGCATCCAAAATAAAAAGCTATCAGCACTATTTACATTTATCTGTGTACTAAATATTTTGCTGGTAATTAAATTTAAGTGCAATACTGTTACCTGGAATACAACTACTTTTCCATCATCAGTTTGCAAGTAGAAGGTCCAAGAAGTGAAGAAGCTCTGAGCTGAATTCATCAAGTCACTGTAGAAAGCAGACATTATACTGATGGGGTAAACGAAGTGGATTTTTGGAACCATGGACATAAGCTGTGGGAACAGGATCATTTGTAACTCAAAATATAACAAAATTAATCCAAGTTAAAACAGAATAAAAAGGACACTTCTCATACTTAGTGCTGATGACTTGAAAATCCCTGTGCAATTGAAAGTTCATTAAATAAATAACATGTATTTTCGATTAGATCTGGAGAATTTAAGAACTTGCCTCTGTAGCTGATAAATTGCAGACACAGTCTAAAAGGTTTTCACTATATTGATTGATGGTTTTCTTCAGTTCTATTATTTCAGTCCTCATCCATGAGCATTAAATTTTCTTACCCATTTAGCTTTATTCAAATTTCTAAAAAGCAGTGCAAGTTTGTGAACTTTCTTCACGTTTATTTGCAATTTTCTGGAGGAAACCGTACATAACAAAGTTAGCTAGCCAGGGACAGACTGGAGGCAACGTCCCATAAATCCACCCGACAATCTCTCTGCCATCAAAAAAGTGAAGAATGGTCACTCAGCCAACGTAATCAAGGGTAGCCTGCATCTGTGGAACTATGTCCAGCACAAGCACATTGCCTTCAGAATTGATGGAAAAAATTTAAAAGCTTTAGCCCTATTTAAGACAGGAGAGAAGCCAACAGCTGAAGCCCAAACAAAAAAAGGTGCATTTCCCATTTATGGGAAAGTATTCTAAACCCACAGGGCTCCCAATGACAGGGGACAAGGCTCAAAACAACATTTTTGGGCCAGGACAATTTGAAAATCTGTTAATCAGCTGCTTTGCCTTAATGTTCTTACAGTCTATATTCAGAATTACAAGTATCCGTTCCTAATGGCAGAAGCAAAAACAAAAAAGTTACGCTGTGATTTCCAATCAACAGTTGGGGCAGGATACAAGCTGGCAGACCAAATATATTTTAAATCTCGCATATAACTGAATATTCAAAGAAGATCTACTGACTCCCAGTGAAAGGAATTTTGCTTACAGAGGATACATGCACAGTCATATGTACATATTTGACATCAGCAGCAAGTGACAGATAGCTGGCAATTGTGAAATCTAGGCATGTGAAGCCATCAACATCCTCCAGCATCACATGGTCAAATGTTGATAGATAGTAGCATAGCAATATTCAATATTAATATTTGTCTTGCTAATGATCAGACCAAACATTAAACAGGTGCGTTCACTTGCCAAAGTGATTCTTTAGTTTGGAATGCTAGTGGAGCAGTCAGTGTGGAGCAACTCCATGCATCTTTATGTTGGATATCAGGCATGCATGGCTAAGGAACTTTCCATCAGTCTGGTATGCAAGTAGACACCCTCTGAAGATGGCATGAGGCACATCAAAAGGAAAAATAATTTCCAAGAGTGTCACTGCCAGAACACAACCCAAGTGATCCCAAAGCTGACCTAGTCTATTATGCTGCCATAAACAGCTTCAGTAGGGAACTAGTTTTCTTCAGCAGCTTAACAGACCCACTTCTACTCAGATGGGTCAAATGTCACGGTGAAATCAATAAGGAATTGAGAATGGTCTCTTTTGTTCAAGACATTTCTGTTGCAGCTGTCAGACTAAGATCACATCAATTAGAGATTTCCCAGTCCCGAAATCACACTGGGATACAAGGTAGATGTGGTCAGCCAGGATCTGCAGTCTGACAGTGGCAACATAATACTTCTACTACCACAATCTTCAGCAGGGAAATTATTCGATAATTTATTACAATCACTTCAGTTGCTCATTCTTGCGCAGGGTCACAATGTTTGTATTATGCTAGCGGACAGTCAGTTTCCGATACTAACATCAGAATCTTGATCTTTGTCCATGATAAAATGAACCAATAGCTTTGTTCAGCTCCTCCACTGTGGATATGAAGTCCAACTCTGCCATGACTAGCTGGTTTGTGTTTATAACTTGAGAGAGAATGTTTCATATGGAGAATGCAATTCAAGGTACTGTTTGACTCAGTGCAATAGGCAGATGGAAAGATTAGTTTCCCTGTCTTTGTGTTCAGATCAGTCTACTTCGTTGGTTAACCGCTTTCCCTTTTGATTCTTTCATGCGCCCCCAACATTCTTTAGAACAAAGGATACATGAGGATTGAAATAATAAACACTGACCTGATGAGAAAACAAAAAAGTCATGTAATCCTTTCGAGGTGTTTAGACTTGTCTCATACACTTACTTGAGAAATAGAAAAGAAAAATGGTGCCATGGCTCAAATGTGGATTGCACTAGGACTTCAAAATTTATTTGACAGATCAGATATTGCCATCAGTGTGAATGGATTAAAAAATATTACAAAGCCAACGTTTTGGGTTCACTAGCAAGGTAATTTGTTAAACCACTCTAACCATCTTTGCAAAAGGTAGTATTGAGCCATCTTCTTGAATGCTATGCAGCACATGGTGAAGGTTACTCCCATTGTCTGTAACATAGGAGCAGAATCCTTGTGCGTGCAGGTATGGCAATATATTTGTAAGTCAAGATGTTGTGCAACTTGCTAACGACAACATCCTTGAGTACCTGCTGCACTTGTCCTTTTAGGTGATAGTAGTGGTATGTACTTTAAGCACCACAGAAAAGTTATGGTACAGAAAGAAGCCATCCAGCCATTGTCTTCACAGGCCGGAGAGAAAAAGTTATTATTAATATCTAATAGCACCTTATGGGCAGCACAGTGACTCAATGTTAGCCCTGCTGCCTCAGTGCCAGGGACCTGGGTTCAATTCCACCCTCAGGCAATGGTGCAGAGTTTGTACATTCTCCCTGTTTCCATCAGGCTCACCGATTTCTTTCTACAGTCTGAAGATGTGCCGGTCAGGTGGGCTGGCCATGCTAAATTGCCCATAGTGTCCAGGAAGGTGCAGGGTAGGTGGATTAGCCATGGGAAATGCAGAGTTAAAGGGATCTTTTTGGGGGGTGGGGATGGTGGTGTCTGGAAGGGATGCCGTTCAGAGGTTTGGTGTGGACCTCATGGGCCAAATAACCTGCTTCTACACTGTGGGGATTGTAGGATTCTATTCTATTATTCAATCATCTGTCATAGCCCTGCAGATCTGAGCATTACAGGCACAGGTCCAGGTAAATATGAAACAAATTAAAAGTTTTCTGCCTCACCACCAAACCAGGCAGCAAATTCTAGACAAAGCAATTGCTCATGCCCCTCTAATCTTTCCACAAATACTATAGATCTGTGCCCCCGGTAAGTGACCTCTCCACCAGGGTGAAGAGATCTTTCCTGTGTGCTTGATTGGTATCCCTCAACAATGTAAACCTCAATTAAGTCACTCCTCAGCCTCATTGGCTTTAGGAAAACAACCATATTCTATCTATCCAATCTTTTGCATCACCTGTAATTTTCAAGTCCTGGTAATAAGAAACAGGAGCAGGAGTAGGCCACTTGGCCCTTTGAGCATGCTCCACCATTCAACATGATCATGGCTGATCATCCAACTTAGCACCTCATTCCTGCGTACTCCCCAAATCCTCTGATCCATTAAGGCCCAAAAACTATAGCTAACTCTTTGAAAACATTCAATAATTTAGCCTCAATTGCTGTGTGGCAGGGAACTCCACATGATCACTACTCTCAGGTGAAGAAGTTTCTCCTAATCTCAATCTCAGTGGCCTACCCAATATTATTTACTAACTTCATTGTTTTTTTGAGCAAGTCAACTTTTCCTCAATGCTATGCAACTATCTAACTGATTAATTCCTACTTTTTCGTAAGTGTTTAACTTCTCAGAATTGGTTGTAATAATTTGCCCAAAAATCACTGACCAGCCCATAATAACTTGGCCTATCCCTCACACCCTTTATAAACATGCTGTAATGCTCACTGAGCTCCAATTTTGAATAAGTAAATTTTATAGTGCATCATATAGATGATATGCATAAAGACAAGATGTGGTGGAGAAAGGAGCAATTCTTCCCTTCTCCTGCCAATTTAGGATTTGGGCATTACTGGGCAGGACAGCATTTATTGTCCAGCCCTATTGTCCTCAAGGTGGCAGTGATGAGCTACCTTCTTGAATAGCTGTAGTCTATTTGGTGTTGGTATGTCCACAATGCTGTTAGGGAGGGAGTGCCAGGATTTCAACCAAGCAACACTGAAAGAATAGCTATATATGTTTCCAAGTCTGGATGGTGATTGGCTTGGTACTTTGTACGAGTTATGACTGCAACTAATGGTGAGCCTTTCCATCGATTTCAACTGTACTTGGGCTGCTTAATATCACACTTCGTGAAAGCCTGCATTTCTTTAGAAGGTCAGTCATCTTGCTTCACTCCTAGAATTCAGCACACTGGGCCACACTTCATCTGCTTCTACCTCTCAGAAGCAAAGAACAGGCATGTTCAAGGACATGTTTGAGAAAACATCAAACATATTCACTTTTTAAATAAATTTTAAAGCTACATTTATGAAAGAGTATGTAAGGAAGTAAGTACCAACAATATCAGCCATAGGTCACCATAATCAGATAACTTTCAAAATCTGAAAAAGTGTGGTTTGGTAAGAATCTAGCTAATGTACTGGGATGTAGGTCTCTCTGTGTGGGCATTCTTCCATTCTTGTTACTGAAGATTGGCTAACGATCACAAGTTTTGAGAGGTGGGGAAGTTACAGTTGAGTTAACACTAACCTTATGTCAGAGGTCAGGTCCACTCAAGTTTCTTTCAACAGTTCTATAAACTTATTTTTTTCAGAACTTTCCTTCCGTAATTCTACAGGCTTATTTTTTCCCCTTTCTCATTGCTGTACACTACACGTCAATTATTGACACGTTGACAGTGTTTGCATTTACATTTTTCCCCACAGGTTCCATTAGGACTTTGTACATTTATTATTCAGTCTCCTCTTTCTCAATTAACTTGCTTCCAATCTTCAATTTCACATCATATCTCCATCCTTCAAATAACTTTCATTCTTCCAAATTGGTGCCCAGTTTGTACCTTTTCTTTTTTACACCCCCCACCTTACCTGCTTTTGTCTCTGCTCAGCAAATGGCAGTTGGTTTTCACATCCCAGGTTGCAAGCAAATTGTTCACCTTGTTGTTTATATGCTTCTGCACAAGCTAAAAAGACAATGTAAATTGTAAAACAGAGAAAGTACTTCTAATGTAAGGCCTATGCAACAATATCATATTAATGGGTACATACACCTTGTAGTCCATGGAAGGAACCTCATTGCCATGTATGCTCAATATATAGTAATAAAGCTACTCTTTACATTTAGTTTTATTATCACCACATATTGGTTCTGTTTCATTACAACACTAAAAATGGAGTTTAGTAAGTCAAGAGTGTGCAAAAAACCCACAACTGTACAGTTAGAGGAGTTTGCCCTTCTAAATAAGTTGGATGGGGTATAAGTCACCACTTCTGGTGGTGGAAATAATTCCATGTGAGTAATTAAAAAGAATCACAACAGCTATTCATACCAATAAAGTGCACTATCTTCAATGCATTGTTCCTGTAGTGCATTTATTGTAACATAGAAAAGAAACTCAACACCCACCCTTGTAAACTATGATATTTCTGAACAATTAAAAATCAACCCCGTAGTGGAGGAAGAGGTGCTATATGATTTGGGAATATATTAAATTATTCAAAGAAAGAATTAAAAACTAAGCAGCACAATCCAGTATCCTGTTGGGTTCCAGGTAAAACGGCATACACTATTTATTCCGAATGTATTTAACAAAAAAAAAAACAAACAGAATTAATGCATTAAAGCTAAGAATGCCCAATTCACCCACTCAAAAACACTGCTAAAGCCACTCAATTGTCAGATGTGGTCTTAAGTGTTTGTTAAGCAAAACAAATCCTTTAAACAAAAATTATGCTTTGTATGCCTCTGTCAGTCACTTAAAAAATACTTTGTTCTGACATTTTAACAGCTCAACTATTCTTCATAGCTGTTTTTTCCTCACCAAACACCAGCACATCTCATTTCGATCAGAAAGGTTGTGCATTTGCCCATTTTTATTTGTGAAAAAAAAAAATCAGAACACAAGTATGGCATGGTTATCGCATAGATCTCAAAAGCAAAGAGATAATCGTATACTAATCATCTCAGATGAATTAATCATAGATGACACTGAAAAAGCCAATAACAGAATTAGACATAATTTCCAATAATTTATGCATCTGAAAGACTTACAGGTCCTCAATGCTTTCTGCTAACCAACAGTTCCTAAAATATCCAAAACCAGCAATCAGGGCACTCTAACATATGTTTTTGTGTCTGTCATCACAAAAATTGCCCATTTCCAATGCATAAATAAAAAACACAACTTTGTTACTGCCTCATTTCATCTATTGCTGCAAACCTCATTGCTGCTTTTGTTATCTCCAGTCTGGACTAATCCAAAGCGGTCCTGGAGGAATGTGCATTTCTACTCTTCACAAACTCGAGGTCATCCAAAATTTTCTGCCTACTGCCTAACTTTCACCATGATTCGCTTATCCATCATTCCTATGCCTGTTGATGTATAATGAATCCAGGTTAAGGATTGCTTCTGATATAATTCGCTCACTAGTTTTCAATTGCCTTCGAACATTATCCTACCCCTGTAATCCCATTTAATTCTATTATCTTCAGATATCTGTAGTGCTCTGATGTTGGCATTGAGCATCCTGGATTCAACTTAAATCAGTTTATCATTGGTCAGCTCTGGAATCCTTTCCTTAAAATCTTCCAATATCTCTAGTTACTCTTTCAAGAGATTTCTGAAAATCTAATTTCTTGAATAAGCTTTTTGTTGGCTTCTCCAACTCTTTATACAGCTTTGCCAAATGCTGTTTCACAATAACTCCTTGAAGGCATGGGACATTTTAATGATGTAAGGCATTATACAAGTACAGATTTCATTCAAGATAATGCAGAGCAGGATGTCGGACTCAGCAGGTCAGAGAGCCATACAGCACAGAAAAGGCCCGTCAGCCCATTAAGTCTGCACCAACATAACTACCACTAAATGCCAATTTTCTGCAATTGTCCCATGTCCTTGAATACTACGATATTTCAAAGTATTCATCCAAATATTTGTTTTTAAATGGTTTAAGGGTTCCGGCCTCCATGACCTTCCTAGGCGGTGCATTCCAGATTCCCAGCACCATGAGTGAAAAAGGCAGCAGTGTTAAAACTGATTTTTGCAGTACAAATTGTTAAAGATGTGCACTTAACTAGGTTCTTTATACAAATTAAAATGTAACCATTTATACATCATCAGGTCCTAGTTTGCCAAATGGATACACTACGATTGTACAGAACATGACAAACCACAGTTTAAAATCTTACCTGATTCACATTCATTTTTGGTCTTGTTTAAGTCTGTGCCATCATCAACAAACTGACAGATAGAGAACAGCCTACATCCTCTCTGGCAAGCATAGAGTTCCTCCTCCTGTCATTATGGACAAAGGGGAAAAAAAAAAAAAAAAAAAAATGAACAACCGGTTCTATTGGTACATCCAAATTCAGTGCTATCAGCAATTGTTTGTATTCATTTTTACAGCATATTTTGACTTTGAACGATAAGAAAAACATGGAACATTCATGATCCACATTTGTACAAAAACTCCTTTGTCACTGCCAACAGCAACAGGGAAAAAAAATACAAATACTGAAATTGCACAGAGCACTTAACATCTGAAAACACTAAAATGTATGTTTCTTGTATGCTAGTGAAGCGGAGGTTCATTTAATTAAATTTATGTCTGTATCAAAGAACAGCAGTGCACAACAGGTCACGAACCTACAACCTGCTGACAAGAAATGCATGAATTACATTTGAAATGCCGAAGTACAAAAAACTTAAAATCAACTTTTATCATTTCTCATCTCAGAAATTTGTTCTTATGAATTCTTAGGAGCAATGTCATAAAGGTATTTTTTCTCAACAATAAACTTTGCAAGCATTTTACATTTAAAGTTAAAAATGCTGGTTTTGTCCACAGTACATGAGGCAATGAAATGAAAAACTGGTAAGGACTCATCTCTCAAATTTTAAAAGTACTATCAAAAAGAAAGCAAAACCTAGTCACAGAGACAGAGACAGTCATGAGTCAACGCAGTTTAATGCCAAAAACAAAAATGCACGGAAGTTCTACTTCAAGCATACCTAATCACCAAGTATTACATGTGTTTTGGTGACACTGTGGACAAGTCGTGTGTTCTGGCAGAGGAAATCTCCCTCATGGAACTATAAAAGATGATTTCACTTGGGTCACATACAGAATCCCACCCAATGATTTGAATGGTGACAAGCTCACTAGTGGACTGGAAAAATTACACTCAAGTGTTCAGTCATAATTCTTTATTCCTGCTTGCTGGGAAGACAGGAAGAAACAGTATAGCCAGACAGTGAAAAAACAAAAGATAAAGATCAACTACAATGGCATGAAGGACAAAACTGAATAATTACAGGTTGGTCTTGGAATAACTGAATGCACTTTTTTGTTTTTTTTTTTAAAAGCTCCAGAAAGTAACTTGTTCCAATTCCAAAATTCTTTCCATGGACCTCAAATTTAGAATAAGTAATGTAGGAGTTGATAGATGAACTGCAGATCAACACCATCAAGATGAATCAGGGACAGGCAACAAATATGACAGCCAATTCACATGAAAGAAAAAAGTAATAAAACATCACTAGTGCAGTAGAAAGTGTTTGGTGGGGGTGAGGATATGCAGTTAAAGAAAAAGTTAAAATTAAATTTCTGTATCAAGAGATTCTTGATGCCGATACTGAACACTCGAAATAGGAAGAGACTCAATACTTCAAAACCGTCCCAGATCTTGAGCACTACACTATGATATTTCTTACACTAGTGAAGTTACAAAGTTTCATTTGGAGGTTCTTAAGTCGATACTTATGGCTGTAGAAAACATTTTCAATGGCAAAAACTTGTTGGATATTGCCTGTAGATCTACCTAGAGATCTACTGCTAAACAATTACTGGGAGGAATGTGAAATTTCTTTAAAAGGATTAGCTCTAAGTTTTTATAATACAATGTTTTACTTACAATCAGAAACAAATAGGTACTTAGGATTTGAACAATTTTAATTTGATCAAGAATCCAAGAAATAGAAAAGTAGACCAATGAATTCCGACCCTGCTCTGCAGCTCCTCTAAATATCATATTCCTGCACACTTCTCATGTTCCAGGATTCCCATTGTCTGTAAATCAGTCATCATTCTCAACAATTGATCCAATCTAGTGACCCTTAACTAAACCTCAAAAAGACATGTACCTGCACACTAACTTAGTGTACTCCTTGTACAGGCACACCAAAGTCTCTCTGAACATATAAATTTATGAGTTTCACTACTTTAAATGAAATTCAGCATTGTAGTCAAAGTGAATAATTTAAAAACACACACCATTATAGTCCTTGTTTGTGACCTTATTGCCTGATCACATAACATTTGCCCTCCTTGGTTTACATTACAACCCAACTTAACTATAGTCCCAGCACTCATTATACAGCATGTTGACTTGAAAATGCCAGATTCATCCTTACTCCTACCTGCCTGTTAAGCAATCCTTCATCCATTTTAATACATCTGTCAACTTCAGAAGTTGACATTGGCCTATTTATCTTGCACATGCACTTCTAATGCCTACTAGAATGCCAAATGTCTTACATGCGCTGGTTCCCCTTTAACTACCCCAAATAGATTTATCTTTTAAAAAAACACATTTTAACATACAATTTGGGGAATGTGGAAATCCCTGAAGGATCACTGGACTCAAGATGCTGACTTTTTTTTGTTCACAGATGTTGGAGAAACTCAACAGGTTCGGCAGCAATTTCTCAGAGATAGCAAGAACTGCAGATGCTGGAGTCAGAGACAACAAGTGTTGAGCTGGAGGAACACAACAGGCCAGGCAGCATAAAAGTTGACGTTTCTGGTCCCCACAAAGCTCAAAACAAGTTTATTACATTTGTACAATTAATTATATTGCAATACAATAAACCAAACTTCCTCCAGGAGCTCCATTACAGATAATATATCTCAAACATTTTAGTAATCCAATCGACCACAAGCACAGAAACAAGATTATATAGAAACACTGGTGGAAGTCTGGAGGCTTTCAGACAGTGTTAAAGTTGAGTTAATTATGCAACAGGTCATGCTCTTTAGAAGCACTGCCTTCTGCAAACTATAGGCACTGATGCTTTTAAGACCATCCTAATGGTTGCACTGAAGAGACTTCACAATTACCAATATTGCTTTATCTCAATCCTGAGGAAAGATCTTAAGATTGATACTCCAACTGCTGCTTAACTTGCTCAGTATTTATTTTCAAGCTTCCAGCAACTGTAGAATTTCCCCTTTTCTCTAATTTCATACTCGCACATATAAATTTGATTTTAAAATTTATCTTTTAAAATCTCCTACATGAGCAATGACCTCTGGTTCTGGAAGTTGCTGCCACACGGACCTTAGAGATCAGTGAAGAAGAAAAATGAATTAGAGGGAAGAACTGTTGTAAACTTAGTTTTAAAGTGATCCAAAGAGGGTGGCATTGCAGTAATATCAGCAGACTAGTTATCCAGACCCCTATTTCTGAAGACTGGAGTTTGAATACCAAAGAACATACAGAATTCATTTTCTTAAAAACTGGAAGTAAAAAGCTAGTCAGTCAATTGCAGTTAACACCCATCTGGTTCATTAAAATCCTTAGAGAAGGAAATCAGCCATCCTTACTTGGCTAGCCTACACGTGACTCCAGACTTATAGCAATTATAAGTTACCAGGACTGGAGGGTTTGAGTTACAAAAAGATAGGCTGGATAAGCTGGGACATTTTCCACTGGAGCACAGGAGGTTGACAGATGACCTTACAGAGGTTTATAAAATCATGAGAGGCATAGATAAGGCGAATAACAAAGATCTTTTTCCTACGGTGGAGGAATTCAAAACTAGGGGGTGTATTTTTAAAAGGAGAGAACAGAAAGATTTAAAAAAGGGGCCCAAGGGGCAACTTTTTCACAGAGGGTCGTTTGTACACGGCATACACTGCCAGAGGAAGTGATGGATACAGATACAGTTACAACATTTAAAAGACATTTGGACAGGTACAAGAATAGGAAAGGTTTAGAAGTATATGGGGCAAACGCAGACAAATGGGACTAATCAGTACAGGTGAGTCGGGCCAAAAGGGTCTGTTTCTATGCTATATGATTCTATGACTCTGTGGTTGACTCTTAAACAGCCCTCCAATGCAATTAGCAATTGGCATTAAATGCTGGCCTAACTCACATCCTATAAAGAAATCCCTGCAACGTGTGCAATTTTTCTAAATTCCAGATTAAAGTTTAACTACCACACACAAGAAAAAAAAAAGTTAAAAAATACTGTTAAACTTGATAACACTGACATTTATAGCTCAGGTGTGACATAAGTAAATCTTTTTTGTATGATTCAAGGAAAATTTCATTGCCTTGTTAAAAGAGTTCCAGTCATTTGTTCAACTTTAAAAAGTTAATTTTTTCTTCCAGACAGAAAAGCCAGCCAAATATCCAGGGGAAAAGAAAAACCACCTTTTTTTGTTGAGAATTAAGTGGTGTAGTGAGGGATGCTCTGCACTTGCCAGAAATGATAAAAGGGACAAGATCAGATGTTTTTTGATGAGGTCCCAGATGAAAACCAAGAGAGTGAATGCGATATGCATCTTAAAGGATATCTTACATTTTTTAAAATATTTCAGGAAAGGAAGTCAGCATGTAGTAATAATTTGGTCCTTGAAAATTTATTAACAAAACTATTTTGAAGCCAGAAAGGATTTTCTGTCTGTTCTGAGCCATAAGCCCATGTACTTGCAATTGACCTAAAAAAAAAAAAAAACAACCTGTTTTTCAGAAAATTCTACTATGGTCTGACCTGTCACCTTAATCTCAAGTGACATCACAATGACAGCAGTGACATTAACTATAATCGACTTTTCAAAACCACTGCAAGTTTCAATATGTTCCTTAAAAATGCCCAAAATATAAAGAATATTTCACTTGTGCCAGCTGTGCTAGCATTACATGAGGGGAGCCAGGGCAGTAGATGCACAAGACCACCACCATCTGCAAGTTCCCTTCCAAATTAACCATCTGGTCTTGGAAAAATGACGGTTTTTCCATGTTGCTGGGGTAAAAGCTTGAAACTCACTTCCTAACAGCAATCTGAATATCCCACACATTCCCGTGGACTGCAATGGTTCAATCTATTTTTCTTCAATCTGTTCAGATCTCTGGGGTAGGTGAAACTTCAACTTAGGTCCCTGGGCTCAGGGGTTGGGACACCACCACTGCACCATAACAGAGCCCTGGCAATGGTTCAAGGCATAAGCTCATGACTATCACCACCTTACAGCCAATTAAACCTGGGCAGTGAATGTCAGATGCTTACTTAACCATGATCACGCCATACGTTACCTCCCCAAACTCAGCCAGGAGCATGACAAACTTAAATTCAATACTTTCCTTTGACATAAGTCTCCCAACCAAGCTACTGAGAAATCCTCACAGATAAAAGACTTCCCTGGCCAGCATGGTAGGTCACTCAATGGAATGAAATCTAATTCCTAAATTCAGGGAGGTTAGGCACAGACCAACTTAATATATGCAAAGTGTAATGGTTGAACATAACCAAATCACAAATCATACAGTAACTTAAATAATTGATAGATAGATATTTTGGCACATGTGACAATAAAGAGTGAAAAGCTTTGTTTACGAGTAGTACAGGCAGACCACAGTAAGCAAAATATGTACAGACCAAAAAGACCTAGAGGTATACAGGTTACATTCCACAGGGCATGTGCTAGGAGAGATCAACATTAGCAAGATCAGAAGTATTTGAGGCTATAAAATCCATTCATCAGTCTGATAACAGCTAGGAAGAAGCTCTTCCTAAACCTGCTGGTGTTTAGGCTTCTGTATCTTCTGCCTGACGGAAGAAATTGTAGGAGATCATTATTGGGGTGCAATGGGTCTTTGATGATGTCGACAGCCTTTCTGCAGCAGCAAGCCACATAAATGGAGTCATGAAAGGAAGGTTGGCTTCCGTGATGTTCTGGGCTGTGCATAACACCTTCTGTAGTTTCTTACAGTCCTGGGCAGAGCAGTTGCCATACCAGCCACTCAATATGCTTTTACAATTTCATTAGGATATGCATATTTTATTAGGCCAAAACAGCTCTCAAGCTCCATACTTACAAGACGATCTAATTCAGGCACCCACTGAGATACCTCAATGCAAAACTTTTGACTCCTCCTGGAGGCATGACAAAGTGGTGACTGAGCCCCTGATCAATACTGTACAAGGCAAAGAACGGATGAGCCTTTGTTTCTATTTTTTTTGACATTTTCAAAACTCCAAACCAAATAAATTCATTTGTTTCGGACAAAAAAAAAAGTGGCACGTACGCGATGTTGGTTAATTAAGGGAGATAAATCCTGTCATGAATTGATCATTGACAACAAGGTGTAGAGCTGGATGAACACAGCAGGCCGAGGAGCAGGAAAGCTGACGTTTCGGGTCTAGATCCATTTTCAGAAATCCACATTCGGCAGTTTCTACTATCTCTGTATGAATTGATTAACAAGTTTCACACAAAAAAACACTGCAAAAGACGAATAAATGGAGACAGTAGCGGTTATATTCACACACACTGGAATGTTTTCGATGTGCGTTATATAATGTAAACAACAGCCACAAAGCAACCGTCAAGAGGCCAGAACGGGGGGGGGGGGGGAAGCGATGCCACGCGAACGTTTTATAAAGACTTCATTGCCAGCTTTCGAGCAATAAAAAGAAACAAATTCCTGTCCCTCTCGGGTAGTACAACAACTTTTCAATCATTCAGCGTTAGTTACTTCTGTGTGCAACTAGCAGCCTTTTTTGAAACCCCCCCCAAGGATTGGCCAACTCAGTTCAAATGTTCCAACAAATAAATTGCAGATTTCAACCATCTCGATCACACAAGCACTCCCTGACGCGAAAAATAAACCCAAGGGGACTAATAGAAATATTAGCAAAGAAACAGCCTTGTTAAAAATAAACACAGGCCTGTTCCTACCCCTAGCCGGCCGGTCAGCCTTACCTTTGGGTAAGTATGCAAGCTGTAAGTCATCTCGCAGCTTCTCTGACACGACGCCGTGTCACCTAAAACCGCTTCGAAGGCATCGGAAGCCAGTGACGGGGTGGAGAAGGAACATAAAACAAAGCCCAAGCATAGCAGAAGACTAACGACAGAAGCTCTACAAACGAGCCCTCCTGCTACCTCCGCCATCTTCAGTCTGTTTGTTGTGATCCAACCCACAACGCACACACGCCCTCCAACCACCCTCAGTGACCTCAACTCTTATTGTCCGGTCTTTGTTTTTAAAATTTGTATGACCCTCATTTAACCGAGATACAGCCGAATTACAAAGCCAAGGCTTGCTTTTGGACCTTGTGTTATCTATAGATAATTCCTTCTGTAAATTTTTTTTACTTTTAAAGCATCGCCGGAAATTATCTGCGCAGGGGATGCTGGGATATGTAGTTTTCCCGCTGGGTTTTAGCATGCGGCTCCCAGCATGCACTGGGCGGGGACGCTGGGGAGAGGAAGTGGTCGTTGCTAATGGATCGCTTTGTGAGAAAGGGCCGGAATCCGAGCCCAGCGCTGCACCCAGCCAAGGTTTATCGCCAGGTCACTCTCGAGTCTTTAAAGGTAGAATTCTGGCTTCTTTGGGACCGTTGAATTATTTGGGTTAAATTGCAAGGCCAGATGCTTTTATTTTTAAGTGCAGGTTTTCCTTGCGAGCTGGTCTCATTTCCTGGTGATCTTTAGCTGCAGTTTATTGTGTAGCGGCAAGAGAAGGCTGTTGGTGCTCAGTTAAATATTCCCCGGTTACGGGAATGTTTTTCAGGATCAAGGAAAGACTGGAGATGGGAGAGATTTTATTAGAGTCGCAGATCAATGTCTTTTCCATCACACACGAAAGAAAACAGAAATTGGCAGAGAAACTCAGCAGGTCTGGCAGCATCTGTGGAGCGAGAAACAGAGTTAACGTTTTTCGGGTCCAGTCTTAAATTCTGAAGAAATCACACTGGACCCGAAACTTGACTCTGCTTTCTCTGCACAGATTTTGCCAGATCTGCTGAGTTTCTCTGCCAATTTCTGTTTTTGTTTCAGATTTCCAACATCTGCAGTTCTTTTATTTTACGTTAATATATTTTCCACAATGCCCTGGCAAACTACTGTCCCAGCTCCACCCTCCCTTTGTTCCCTCCTCAAAGTGCTTGAATTGTTCTCATCCCCAAATCCATACCCGCCTTTCATGGAATTCCATGTTTGAATTCTTCTGATCAAGTTTCCGCCTTTGATGCATGACCAAATGATATCCTTTGTGATTGACAAAGGGGAAACTTCTTTCCTTGTCTTTATCAGATTCTCCCCAGCTTTGACATCATCAGCTGCACCATCCTCCCCTAATGCTTCTTAACTCAGCCAGATGGGTGGGATTACCTTCACCTGGTTATGTTCTTATCTATCGAACCACAGCCAGAGAATCACCTGCCACTAGCTCTGCTGTTCTTGAAGGCCACCTTCCCTATTACTCTGCTCCATCACCTTGCTGCTGTACACAACCCTCTTCCAGAAAGTTGCCTGAGGCTAAATCTGACTTTTGCAAATTTGATGTAGTTTTTAATCCCAAGATAAGATCCTGACTGTGTGTGTACAGTAAGACAGCCTATTTTTATGTCCATTACATTGACTTTACAGAAGGAGAGGATTAAATAGCTTTGAAATATGAATTTGGGGGAGAATTCAAAAGACAGAAAATAACATGATGAAGAATTACATTTGATGAACTTAATTAGGAAAAGGTAGAGAATTTGGGGAGGCACATTTCCAGAGGAAAAGGACCAATAAGTGATATGGGGAAATTTCCAAGAAAGAAGAGGAAGGAAGAGAATGTAAGTGTTGGATGGCGTGAGGTGATGGCAAATGGGGAAAAAAAAGGTAAAAATTATGGAAAGACTCTATGAACCTTAAGTTCACCTGGACCATCTCCGATACCTCTCTCCCCTTCCTGGACCTCTCTATTTCCATCTCGGGCAACCACCTGGAAACGAACATCCATTTCAAGCCTACTGACTCCCACAGCTACCTAGAGTACACCTCCTCTCACCCACCTTCCTGCATAAAGGCCATCCCCTATTCCCAATTCCTTTGCCTCCGCCGCGTCTGCTCCCGAGATGAGGCATGCCACTCCCGGACATCCCAGATGTCCTCGTTTTTCAAGGACCGCAACTTCCCCTCCACAGTGGTCAAAAACACCCTCAACCGTGTCTTTCCCATTTCCCATAACTCATCCCTCACACCCCCTCCCCGCAATAACAACCAAAACAGAATCCCCCTCGTCCTCACGTACCACCCCACCAACCTCCGGATTTAACGCATCATCTCTGACACTTCCGCCATCTGCAATCCGACCCCACCACCAAAGACGTTTTTCCCTCCCCACCCTTATCTGCTTTCGGAAGGGACCACTCTCTCTGTGACTCCCTTGTCCACTCCACGCTCCCCACCAGCCCCACCACCCCTGGCACTTTTCCCTGCAACTGCAGGAAGTGCTACATTTCCCCGCTCACCCCCATCCCAAGCCGGAAGAAGACCTTCCACATCAAACAGATGTTCACCTGCACATCTGCTAATGTGGTATACTGTATCCGCTGTTCCCGTTGTGGCCTCCTCTACATCGGGGAAACCAAGCGGAGGCTTGGGGACCGCTTTGTAGAACACCAACGCTCGGTTCGCACCAAACAACTGCACCTCCCAGTCGCAAACTATTTCAACTCCCCCTCCCACTCCTTGGACGACATGTCCATCCTGGGCCTCCTGCAGTGCCACAACGATGCCACCCGAAGGTTGCAGGAACAGCATCTCATATTTCGCTTGGGAACCCTGCAGCCCAACGGTATCAATGTGGACTTCACAAGCTTCAAAATCTCCCTCCCCCGACCGCATCCCAAAACCAGCCCAGCTCGTACCCGCCTCCCTAACCTGTCCTTCCACCTGTCCACTCCTCCCACCTCAAAGCCCCATCCCCATCTCCTAACTACTAGCCTCATCCTGCCTCCTTGACCTGTCCATCTTCCCTGGACCGACCTATCCCCTCCCTAACTCCCCACCTACACTCACCTTTACTGGCTCCAACCCCGCCTCCTTGACCTGTCTGTCTCCTCTCCACCTATCGTCTCCTTTATCCATCTTCTATCCGCCTCCCCCTTTCTCCCTATTTATTTCAGAATCCCCTTCCCCTCCCCCATTTCTGAAGAAGGGTCTAGGCCCAAAACGTCAGCTTTCCTGCTCCTCTGATGCTGCTTGGCCTGCTGTGTTCATCCCGCTCCGCACCTTGTTGTCTCAGATTCTCCGGCATCTGCAGTTCCTACTATCCCAGTGAACAATGTATCCATCTTTAGACAAAACAGACCTCGTGATGATGAAAATTGCCCCCAACACTGCTCCTGGCCAAGCTCATCTGCTGCCGAAAATCTTGCCTATGCCTGTCTTATCTTTTAATTTTGACCATCCCGATGCAACCCTGGACGAACCCCAGGTTCTACCCTCTGTAAATCTGAGGTCATCCAAGACTCTGTTGGCCATGCCCTGTGCTAACTGACCTACTTTGGCTCCTGCTCAATTTATATCTTCAATTTTAAAATTCCTCACTCGCTCTATGACATCTGTCCTTGCCATTTCTGTAATCTCTGCTAGCCTCTCAGCCCGTCAAGATGTCTACATATCTAATTCTTGTCTCTTGTGGGTGTCCAATTTTAATTACTCCACCAACGATTGCTGTGCTTTCAGCTACCTGAGCTCTAAACTCTGACATTCTCTCCTTTAAGCTCTCTATTTGTTTCATCCTTTTAATGTACTTTTTAAAACTTAACTCTGACCAAAGTTTTGGCATCTGACCAAATATAATGTGCAGTTAAAATTAAACACACTTACCCTTGTTTAGCTGATGTACCATTTACTTAGTGGTTAATGTTGAATTATGTTGCTTCTACTTTGTTTGTTACAGTAAAAGTTTTCTTATTATTGCATATTTTGAGGAATTTGTCACTTTAAAAAGGCAAGTTTTTAGGACCATCATAACAAATATACATGCTATTCTTGTTTTAAATCATGTCTATAACTTTGGATGATCTGCATTTTTGTCAGTGTTTACAATTTTTGCAATTTTAATCTATAATGTCCATGGCTTTTCAATGCAAAATATGTTTGATTTCCTCCAAAACCTTAAACACCACAAATTTATTGCGTGACTTTGACATTTTTTGCTGAAATAGTTTTTGGGTGATGACTATTGTTTTTATTCTCAAAACAGAGAGTTGTGGTGATTGAAGATATTAAGAGATATAAGTCTATTTTGGAACTGCCTAATCAAACAAAGGAAATCTTAGTGGAAGCATTAAATGAATTAAAGAAGAAAATACCTTCACAAGAAGTATTGCTGTCAACTAAAATAGGTGAGGATTATAACTGCACAGTTCTTACTTTCAAGATTGTAATTTTACTTCTGACAAACTTTTAAAATCATATTAGTATAAATTATGTTTCGTAACTTCCTAATGATCTTAATGGAATAGTGCTTCTGTTCCTCATGCCTTTTAAGTCCGACATTTTGAAGTGTGGATCATTCCACTGAACGATTTGGGAGATGTAAACTGGGTTGATGGATTTTCTGTCGCTTCTGATGATGTTATTGATTGATGAATAGGTATAGTTTCAGAATGCCTCCAATTTCCATTTGCTGTTTTTCCTTTTCCAAAGGGAGATGTGTCCTAGTATTTTGATTCAAGTTACTAATGCAAACAGATGTTGATATTCTAGTCAGGAATTATTAACCTGTGAGGCTGCAGACCTTTCCAAACATCATATTGTAAAAGCACAAAGTAACAAATAAATATCATCACTATTTATATCATATTGCACCCTTTTTGGAGTTTGTCATTGTAAGAAAACGCTGGAAATACTGAGAAGATCAAGTAATTGCGGATAGAGAAACAAAAGGTAAATCTTTGCTGAGCAAAATGTATAAGATTCAGTGGGAGGCATAAGGAACCCAAGTGTACAAATTGTCAGGCAAGAGGTTGACAAGAAAAAGACAAATTAGTGCACTCCTATTCCCAAGTTTGAAGCACAAAATCTTTCAGTCATATCACGCAACAAGATTGAAATAGTAGTAAACATGTGGTGACCAATGCAAATTAGACTTGTGGAGTTCCTTGATAGCTCTATGATATCGTGTATTGTATGGTGTGGAGGTTGAATTGTGCTTATCAGCAAGTTGCCAAGTTTGATCTTTGACATTAGTACTACTCTGGCTCAAA